GGATGCATCCGTGAATGAAGCATAGATCCCTGCCTTGTGGGACTGACATTTTAATTGGGAAAGATATTAATTTGATAATCATAACACATTTGTTATGTTATGTGTTAGAAGGTATTAAGTACTACAGGAAAATATAACATAGAAACACATAATGGGGATTCATCCACCTGAAGTCGAATTAATTTGAATAAAAACATAATTTTGTAGTAAGTTTTATACTGCAGGTATCAAGGTAAACACCAGATACACGACGAAGTTATCAGGATGAAGAGACCATCTAATGGCATCAGTGACATATAAAAGTAGGAAAAAGGAGCTGAGAAGAGGCAGGATTTAGCTGCAGGGAAAACATCTGCCTTCACGTTTCCCAAGCTGCTCAGGTCTGACCTATCACTCTAAGGCTGACAAAACCGAACTGGTATTGTATTCTCTGCAACACCAGAATAAACCACCCAACTTCTGTGACAGCGAATCCCAAACTCAAAATAAGGCCAGATACACACCTGTATTACCAAAAAATAGGACTTCTGTTTGCAAAGACTTTTAAACTTTTAAAGAGACTTTTACACACAAATCCTTTCATTTGATCAGGGCATTAGGTTTTAAAGTAAGCAAACAATTATTGTATCTATTATGGAGATTCATGGATTCAAATTCTCCCTCTAACCTCCTGCCTTATTCCAACTAAATAATAAATTTAGCAGCTAACACTTCTAGGGTCTTATTACATTTAATCTTTGCAACCATTTTATGAGTTGGTAACTATTATCCTCCCATCCTACAGATGAAGCAATTGAGTCAGAGAGGTTAAGTAACTTGCCCAAGCCTACAGCCAGTGAAGTGTAGAGCAGGAATTCAAACCCAGACAGTTAGGCTCCAGTCTATCCTCTTAACCACACTCAGTAATCTCCACAGTCGTCTGGGTATACGTATCTATGGCAGTACTACCCTATTTGGCATTAAAACATTAAAATTTCTTTCCCCCTGATCTTTTAGACCAAAGCTCGTTAGTAGGCACTGGGTCCTCTGTTCAGTTGCATTGTCCAGTATAATTTGCACTTGGTCCGAATTTGGAGATTTGGCCAAATGGATGATATTTTTGAAAAGCACAAGGTCTCCTGGCTTCCTGCCCAGAACACAGCCCATTGCTCTCCGCTCCCTCCCTGCTAATGGAATTCAGGCTCGATGAAATTATAATA